AGGGGCCGCAGACACAAAGGACGTCCAGTCCAAAGAACAAACAAAGAAGGCGTCTATTTCGGCCCGAGAACGCGCTAAAAAACGATCCGTTTACCCCCAGAGAGACTTTTTGGGAAAACAGTGTCAAGCATTCGCGTTCCTTTATGATTTATATTTGCCGCACACTCTCAAGGGACGTCTAGTTCAAGACGCACGGATGACAGTAGCGTATTTGCACAAAACACGCGAGTGTAACGAAGCGATCGATCCGCATTCAAGCGGCAAGGTTTATCTGGAATAATTGGGCATTCTTGGTGATTAGAGCAAGTAACACTACTTTTAGTTGGAAAAAAGTTAACTTGTCTACAAGAAACTCTTTGAGGAATATTTAAAATTGCGATTATCGTACCTTAAAACGGATCCGGAACGTAAAATTCACCCCATAGCGACACGCAATAGTCCGTTAAAGTGATGCGAAAAAGAGTGGCAATCAACAACAACACATTTCTGGATATTCTCGTCCGATTAACGATCCCGATTACTACGGTTACTACAAGTAGAAAGCACGTACACGTGAAAATCTGAAGACAAAACTTCGTGGGACGCCACTCAGTCTGCCAGCGTCGAAACACTGTCGATTCCGCGTCTGGAAGCGAATATCCAGATGGCATGCGCATCTGCAACACTTGCATCCATCCAGTTCTGGACCAATATCCAAGAGAATTATTTAAATCCCATTATTTCCACCTGAATTTTGCCACTCCATTCAGCGATTTGCACTCGGAAAATTCCGTATGCCTGTTTTCTGAGCTGAAGGAATCATTGTCCAGCTCAGAAACTCCTCAATAGTCACACAGTCGATATGTGGTAGTTGAGCGGGTCACATGCATCTATTATAGTGGAGTTTTAACCTAAAACCTATGAGAGGAAGCACAAAAATGTGCTGGAGTCTTTGTGGTTTGTATGTGTAATTGTTTTACTCTTTATTAAAACAGAGGCTTCAAGAGCAACAAGTACAAGTAATTGATGATGTTGCTCACCGAGTGACGCAACAGATGAACCATTAATAGAGATGGCGCTGTGCGTTTCATCCCACAACAGAAAATGAGTGGGTGAGTAGCGGTTTTTAGGGTATCGGTCCTGAGGAGGGCTCAAATGAAAGCCGAAACTTTATGCTTCCAAGCTTGAAGTCAAATAATATCTGACGAAGAGGCATATTCAAAACGTTCGCGGTCTGTAGAACAGGGTTTTCTCCATAAAACGTAAGAACGTTCAATGTTTCCCCTCGTTCGCTTTTTATATAATTAGTTTCAAAAAATGCGCATGAATGAAACATTATTGGCGAGTCAAAAATTCCCTGTTGAAAGAGCAAATTCGAGATTTTGATTGGAGTAGGCAAGACAGACAAACAGGTTTCAAAAAAAATTGTTAAAAATTCTTTGATGAAAAGGCAAATTCAAAACTTTTTATGTTTATGTTACTCAGTTTATAGAGAAACTATGAAACGCAATAAGACAAAATTCTTTCTCTCGTTACCCTTTGAAAGCACCAAGGTGTTTTGAAAGTTTCCCATAAGACGCGTGCATAATTTCAAAACCAGCGAGTTTAATACAAATGTGAAAAAATCTCTTATGAAGAAGTAAATTTGAAACTTTTGGCGTTGATAGTGCTGAGTGGAAAATGCTAGGGCCTGGAAACGGATTCGCAAAGCAAACTAGTTTCAAATAAAACTTTAGAAATGCTCTGATAAAGTGGCCAACTTTTTTCTCTGTAAAACGAACAACTCACAACTTTGCTTCGCATTCGCTTTTTACATCATTCGTATGGGAAAAGACGAGTGCATGAAACAGTCTTGGCGAAACAAGCGAGTTAAAAAAAATGTCAAAATTTCCCAACTGAAGGGCGAAATTTGGGATGTTTGCAGCTTGTAAAACTGGGATTTCACTATGAAAGTCAAAAACCGAAATTGTTCGTCTCGTGTATGTTTTACATAACAAGTACCTATCAGAAAAGATAAGCGAGTTTCAGAAGAAATGCCCACAAATTCTCTGATGCAGAAGCAAATTCGAAACTTTCGGAATTTAGACTAAGCTTGGGAATTCAGTGAATTTTTAGGAGTGGGCGCAGTGCTGCGCAAATGGCTTGGTGCGCGTCACCCAACGCACCGGCGGAGTAACTCCGGAGTAATTCCGTTTTTGGGAAAATGTTGATAACTTTTTAATTGTTTTTAAATTTGTTCTAAGGGCCATTTATTAATAATATTTTTCAAATTTCTTCAGAATTTCCAATTTTAGCCAAGTTACTCTTTCTCCTAAATTCGCCTCATAAATCGCTTTGCAGGGGATTTTAGAAAACTCTTTTCAACTTCGAATTTGGCTCAAAAACCAGGTAATTTTATTGACTTTTTAACCGAAAGCAATTAAAGTTACCTTGTAAAAACGACCAAAGCAAAAGTTTTCTACAAATTATTTGGAAAATTCGCCACCCTCATCGCTCTGAAGACTTTTTAAGTTTCTTTAAAATTTCAATCTTTTTAGTTTAAGCAAAATTTGTATTAAGCAATTCTTTCTACGCAAAAAAAGTAGTATTTTTCAAGTTTTACTTAAAAATACCGACAAGCTTCAGGTATTTTCTGTGAAAAATTTAAAATAAATTTTATTGGAACACTTAACAGCTTTGTAAAAATTTCTCCAAATCCTAATAATTTTTTCTTGATTTCTTCCCAAAAATATTTTCCCGTACAGAACATGCGAAAGCAAAAATTATAATCAATTATTTTGAAAACTCGTCACCTTCGTCGCTGTGAATGATTTGATTTTTTTAAATTCCGGTTTCTTCACTTTTAGGTCAATATTTGTAAACAAAACTCTCTCTAACCACGTTTTACTGTAAATTATGGCGAACTGAGAGTCGTTTATGCGAAAAAATTAAGAGATCGATTTTACAACAAAACTCGTCGTCTTCTTTATCGTCTTTTTCAAATACCCGTTTTACCTTTCAATCTGGGACAAAAACGAAACAAAGTTCTTTTGTTTTTTTTTTTCAAAAAAATTTAAGTTTCCCAAAAAACACTCAGAGAAAGCGAAATCATATATTCAACTATTTGGAAAACTCGTCACTCTCATCGCCCCGAATAATTTTTAAGTTGCTTCAAAATTTCCGGTTTTTTTCGTTTTAAACCAGATATTTTCAAGCAATCGTTTCGCCCGATAAGATAAATCTCAGTAAATTTTTAGGAGTGAGCGCAGTGCTACGTAAATGGTTTAGTGCGCCAACCCAACGCAACAGCCCAGTAACTCAGTTATGTTGTTGGGAAAATGTTGATGACTTTTTTAACTTGTTTTTAGATTTATTTTAAGGGCCATTTATTAATAACATTATTCAAATTTCTTCAAAATTTCAGAACTTTTCAGTTTTAGTCAAGTTACTCTTTCTTCTACACGCTCAATTTTCTAACCAACTCAACGCTCCAACCCAACGCACCGGCGCTCCGTTCAGTTGCTGGTAAAACGTTGATGACTATTTTTAGATGTTAAAATTCCAGTCTCGGTCATCAGTAAACGAGTTATAACTCGATGAGTTAAAACTCATTAACTCAAAGAGCGGCAAAAACTCAAAAGCGCAGCTCAACACAATATCACCCAGGCCTAGTTTAGAGTACCGAGTTTTCCGTATAAAACGCAACAAGACTTAACTTAACTTCTCGGTCGAAATGTCGAATAAAACCTTAGCTTCCTGCAAATTTTGGAGCTAAAAGATTGCCAAAAATATCTGCAAAATATGCAAGTGCAAAACTTTGTGGGTTTGCAAAACTGGATTTTACAAATCAACAAACAAAATAATTGCCGTATAAGCAACAAAATTAAACTAATTTAGAATATTTTGAAAAATTCAAACAATCTGCACCAGTTGAAAGAGAATATCCAAAAACACGGCAACTGTTGAGTTTAAGTAATTCTACTTATAATTCGATGGAGATTAAAAATTGAGACGAACAGCAGGTGCTTCTAGTTGAAAAAAATAAGTTGATGATCGCACCTCATTTTTATCACCCTGTGCAAATTCGGTTGGTATAGAAAAATTGCGTTTCAAAATATAAATAAGTATACGACCCACTAACATTGGAACTTATCGCTCTTTTTACCGCAATTATTCGCCTGTAACGCCACAAACGTTGATAACTTCTTCTACGATAAGAAAATCACCAAACATTTCGGTAAATCCGGCCGGGAACTGGCCGATTATTTCCAGTACGGATCTGTGCAATGACGCACAACTGATACAGGTTTCCTCCAGCAGGATTTCGTGGCAGGGTCGTGGCAACTGCGATGGCAATACGAGAAAACAATCAAGCGGACAAAGGCGAATAGTTCACGGTACGATCGCGCTAGTATGCTAGTACCATCGACAAACAAATTCCTAGCTGCTCCTGCGAGAGTTTGGCATCGTTTTACTGCGTACAGCGTGTCGTTTATCCGTGTTCTGCCGTGATTAAAGTGCAATTTTTTGGGTGTCAGTCACGCTCAGTGGCGCTTTTTTTGTGGCCGAAGACATGCTAGATTTTCGGTCAAATTGCAACAGCAAAGTCGCGTCAGCCAGAAAGTGTGCACAATATGGTCGATTTCTAATGTAAACAGCCTTGTTATTGCCGACAAGTAAGCAGCTTTCACAGGACAACTGGTATGTCATGACTGCTGCTGGCGCTTTTTTCAAATTTTTCGATCTAACGCCAATTGCCGCATAACGGCGCCCAGAAAGGTCAATGAGTCTGAACCGTCTGAACGATGAAAAAAACGAGTATTAAAATATCTGCATATTCAACCCAAGGACTTTTTAATAATTCAACAAGCAGCCTCTTTTAGCACCTCAGCATGCTAATTGAGTCCATCGTCCGCGCAAAGCGCGCTCGAGTGGAGCAAAAACATTAATTTCATATTTTTTGTTAATTTGCAAAAATGTAAATCTACAAAAATTACTTCCAGCTACGATCACTTCCAATAATAGATAGTGCATGACGCTACTGATAGCCTATCAAGGCGGCCAAGCAGCACTGTTTGCATTCAAATAATTGTTTATCCAGCTCCTAATTTACACAACACACTGTTTTTTCAAATAAAACCGGTTTGTTTGCTTAAGAGGGTTATCATCCCCTTCAACTCATTATATGCGGCCACTTAGGTTCAAGAAACCACTGTCTTGATACCAAAGTTATACAATTTGTTTATACGCAAAGGACAAAACTGAACAGCTACAACTGAAAACTTGACTTTTTGCGCTAACACTATTTTTGCGACAGCTTTCTTTTAAAGTGTTCAACCCTACATTGAAAATTCTTTAAAAAAATCAACGTAATCCTGAGCAGCGCTGGATTTAGGTGGGGGCTACGGGGGCTCACGATGTCGGGGCCTCGGTAAGATCTAATATAAAATCACATAAAAAATGAGAAGTTCAATTGCACAGCGACCTTTTTTTTCTTTTAGAAAAGGGCCTCTGTCGGAATCGTAGCCCCGGGCCCTACCACAGGACGATTTTCTTCTAATTATTTTCAATGCTGCGCTTCTCTTGGTTTCACACACGAAATATTCAAAGTGAAGCTTCCGACACGGAAAAAATGTTTAAAAATGTGCAATTCTTTAAAGTCTTCAGGAAACTTAGTTTGTTTGTGATTTAAGAAGCTGAAACTAAGTCCAAATCTTCTGAAATTTTGCTTTTTTATAGGCTGCAATAGTGAATTATTCGCTTCGCTCAGTTGCTTTCAACTAAAAAGTCAAACTTGGGACGTTCATCTCCCGATCGCCTCAACAATGTTTTTACCTTCTTCGTATCTCAGTCATAGTTAAACCTACACGATTTTCTTCTAATTATCTTCAATGCTGCGCTTCCCTTGGCTTCACGCAAGAAATATTCAAAGTGAAGCTTCAGACACAGAAAAATGTTTGAAAATGAGCAATTTTTCTTTAAATTTTGCAGGAAGCTTTATTTGTTTGTGATTCAAGAAGCTGAAACTGAGTACAAATCTTTAAATATTTTGATTTTTTATAGGCTGCAATAGTGCATTCTTCGCGCCGCTCAGTTGCTTTCAACAAAACATTCAAGCTGGGGAGGTTTTTATCTTCCAATCGCTTCAGACAAATTTTTATCTTCTTCGTATCTCAATCATAGTTCAACCCACACGATTTTCTTCTAATTATCTTCAATGCTGCGCTTCCCTTGGCTTCACGTACGAAATTTTTATTCATTACGGGTGTTTGTACCCGCCCTGATCCTGAGTAAGAACTAAATGTGGCTACACCATTAACTACTTGTGATAAATTCCTCAAAAACCTTCTACACAAATAGACCAGAACCCTTCTTGTTCCAGATTGGCAACATGAACTTTGGAGCCTCAACATTTACCCTACTAGTCCTTCTAGTCGCTTCAATCGCTCAGACACTGAGCATCGACTGCTCAATTTTCGGCAGAAATATGTGCCTGTGCCAGCATCTGGAAACGGAGCTTCTCCAGTGCCCGCCTGCTGAACCAAAAATCATCATCTCCATCTCGGATAAGCAGCACATTACTGTGCAGTGCCAGGATGAGGTCACACCCAATCTGGATCTGGATCTCTTTCCTGATCTCAACATCACGCAATGCCAACAGTTCAAATTGGAGTACTGCTATCCGGAGAACGGCTTTGACGGTGTGAGGAAAAAGTTTGGTGTCCAGAACCTCACGGTGCTTGAGCTGGAAAGCATGGCTCCTAAAGAGAATTCTGCCAGCTTCAGCCTGACCAAAGATTTCCTTGGCAATCTCAGCAGTCTGGAAAGCCTTCGCATCTCCTACAGTCCCATTAGTTTTGCACCGGATTTTCTGGCAAATTTTCCCAATTTGCTCGCTCTGGTGATTTACAAGAGCGAAATCAGCCAGTTGCATCGGCATTTCGACTACGTCCCCAAACTCACACTGCTCGATTTGGCTTCGAACCAAATCAGCGCCCTGCCCGACGGCGTTTTCCGCTCACTGACCAACTTGAGCAGGCTCCAGCTGTTCAGCAACAATATCAGCTCGATATCCAGACGGACTTTCGAAGGGCTGGAAAACGTCAAGCTGCTGGAGCTGAGCTTGAACCACATCAGCCAAGTGGCTGAGGACAGTTTTGCTGATTTACCTCTTTTGGTCAATCTCAGCTTAAGAGGCAACCGAATCCAGACCATTGAAAGCAACATCTTTGCGCACAACTCGCTGCTGGAGAACGTCCGGCTAGGGTCCAATCCAGGGGTGATTTTCCAAGACAGGGTGTTTGAGAACTTGACCAAGCTGCTTACGGTGGAACTGAACTCGAATCGCTTCCAGACTCTACCCGAGGGGACGTTTACCAACTGTCGAGCTCTGAAGGATATTAATTTGAGCAGCAACTTGCTCAGCAGCCTGCCCGAGGGAGTGTTTCGCAACCTCAGATATCTGAAGCGACTAAATTTGTCCTTCAACACCCTCGGCCTCTTGCCCGATACATTGTTTGTGTCCTTGGAGAGCTTGGAGCAGCTGGAGCTCAGCCACAACCAGCTGAGCGCTATCAGTCGCCAGCTGTTCAAGCCTCTGCACGCACTGAAGCAGCTCCACCTGAGCCACAATCAACTGAGCATCATCGATAAGAACGCCTTTTCCAGCCTGCAATCCCAGTTCACCGTTTTAGATCTTTCTTTCAACAATTGGAACAACAGCTATGATGTGCCCGTTGATATTTTCCAAGTGACTCCCCTGGCTGAGCTGCTGTATGTTGAGCAGCTGCTGCTCAGTCACAATCAGTTGCGCTGGATTCCTGATCTGCCTTCCGCTTTGAAGCTGCGCCGGCTGGACCTCAGCTACAACAACATCAGCAACGTATCGGTGAGTACTGGCAGGGCTTAATAAAGCGATGCTTCCTGCATTTGGTCAATCCTAAAACTTTAAACTGAAACGCTTCGATTCCAGAGGGAGATTTTCTGTTGAAAAGACTGCAGAAAATGTAGTTCGGTCAATACCAACGTTGTGTTTTCGTATTTTTTCATTCTCCATAAGCAATTGACCAACTTTTGTCTTCGAAATTTTATCTGTAGAGCGAATCGTTGTTCAGTTATCGAGATGTGTTTGTACTTTAGTTTATCAGCATCCTTCCTTTGGTATACATCTTTTAGTTTCATCTACAGATGAGAATTTCTCGATGAAAAGCGACCAACCAGAACATTAACTCTGTTCCAGATGCAGAGCTTTGCCCACCATAGGGCGTCCGACCTGGAGATCGATCTAACCCACAACCAGATAGAACAGGTGGACTTTAAACTGGCAGAAACCGCGCTTGTACTGAATCTGGAAGAGGATGCCCCCAAGGACCCCAGCAACATTTTCAAGCTGTCCAACAACCCTCTGGTGTGCGACTGCCGCAACTACGACCTGGCCCGATTTAGCAACGGCGAGATGAAGCACATGAAGTGGGTTATCCGAATCGATCTGGACGACCAGACTTGCGTGGACGACAGCGCCGTGAAAGTAGCCGCGCTCACTCCCAGCATGGTAAACTGCCCCATGCCACAGGCATGCCCTGCACGATGCAGCTGCGCCTACAAGCCCTTTTTCCGAGCGGCGCTGGTGAATTGCTCCCACCAAAACCTCAGCTCCTATCCAGAGTTTGACCTTCAGAGCGATTACGATCACCGCTTCAATCAGACATGGCTCGATCTGAGCGGCAACAACTTCACCAAATCACCTTCGAAAGAAGTGGCCTATTCCAGCTACTCCAATGTCACTTGGCTGGATTTATCCGCAAATTCTCTTCAGGGCATCGACTGGATTTCTCCGCAGGTGGAGGTAAGGTTCTTAGAACTTTCAAAACACCAAAAATTGAATTGTTTTAAGCCCAACTACTGCTCCCCTTGCAGGTCTTGAATCTTAACAACAACTCCATACAGAACCTGGACGAAAACGTTGTCGCTCAGTTGAAGAACTGCAGTCGCCTGCGGCTACTGAAGCTGAAAAACAATCCCTGGAAGTGCAGCTGCCAGTCCCTAGAGCTCCAGAAGTACATCATGGAGTACTACCACAAGGTAAACAGGCATGGGGAGACCTCCAGACCGTAGGAACTCAGGTGTTTGGTTTCCGCAGGTAAATTCCTCCGATGTTTACTGCAGCGACTCGCAAATGCAGCTGGTGAAGCTGACGGAGCTCTGCACAGTCTCCGCTCTGCTCTCAGTGCTGCTCCCGATCGTCCTCAGCGTCCTGCTGTGCTTCTCCGTAGCTGTCGCGCTCTACTATCGCTACCAGACGGAAATCAAGGTCTACCTCTTTGCCAAGAATCTCTGCCTGTGGTTCGTCACCGAGGAGGAACTGGACAAGAACAAGACCTACGATGTCTTCGTCAGCTACGCGCACCAGGACGAGAACTTTGTGATGGAGCACCTGTTGCCCGAGCTGGAGCAGAGGGAGAACCCGTTCAAGGTCTGCATCCACATTCGGGATTGGATTCCAGGCGAATTCATAGCCGAACAAGTGGTGAGCAGTGTCAAAGACTCGCGGCGCACTCTGGTGGTGTTGTCCAACAATTTCGTGGACAGTGTTTGGGGCAAGTTGGAGTTCAGAACGGCTCACACGGAGGCGATAACGGAGGGACGCGCGCGCGTAATTGTGGTCATCTACGGTGACTTGGACGAGACCAAGCTGGATGGAGAGTTGAAAAGCTACCTGAAGACTAACACGTACGTGAAATGGGGCGATCGCTACTTCTGGAACAAGCTGAGGTATGCGCTGCCGCATTCGCACGGCAACTTCTACGAGAAGAACAAGCGACACGCCAACGTGATGCTGAAGATCGATGATAAATTTGAGTTAATCAAGAATCCGCCCAGTCCCAGTACCACCAGCACGCCGCCCATCACATTAGATCCGGCGCTGCTTCAGAACCAAGTGGGGGCGCTACCGGTGGAGGGCGAAGCCCCGCTATTGGTCCGGTCTTAGACTCTTCTGGGTGCCAAAACTGTGATGTTCAAATTGCCCCACACAATTGGGGCGAACAAACTAGCTTAAGGGATGTAAAATGCTCATTGACTAGTCGACGCCATTCTAATCAACGTTGGATTACACAAATCTGTTTATACAAAGTACATTCTATGAATTCTATTTTTTTATGATTTTCCAGCAGCAGTACCATTGGCGGAAGACAGTAGGGTCGATGTTAGATGTATCAAAGTACAATTTGTTAATATATTAATTGTTAAACTGGCTTTCAAGTCCAAACAGCCGATTGAATGTGTTCTGTTTTACCTATTGTTAAGTACATGATATCATATGTTTGTTTTTATATTGACTATATATTTTTTAACATTCTGGTGTTTCATTTACTTTTTTTTCGTAGTGAGTTAACTAAATGGGTCAATTAATGGGAAATGAAAAACCAGAACCAGGAAGACATTTTTGTCCAACCGCTTCAGGCCATTGTTCAATAGTTTAGATACGCAAATTGATAATCTAACGAGCCAATTATTGGCCGTTTTATGCAAATCATGCAGCTTTGAGGAGATATCGTGAGGACGAGTTTTTTGACTGGTTTCTTATCAGTTTAAATTCGTGCAGTTTTGCGTCCCAATGGGAAAGTTAAGTTCAAAAGATAGCAGGAGTGGGACACATGACAACGACAATATTTAATTGTTTGCGACGTTTCGAACTTTAACGCCAAGTTGAAAAATGGTTTTCAACTAGAGAAAGTTTCTAAAGACGTTGAAACGACCGCAGGATTGATCAGGGAAAGTTTGTTTTTCGCATCCACACTATTGACACTGAAACGAGGCCAATTGGGAACCGATTTTTTAAACTCAAAAATCTGAAAAACGCAATAACTTTGAGGTATTAAAAATAATTTTCAAATGAGGAAAGTTTCTACAAGCGGAGAAGCTACCAGTGGATTTATGAAAGAAAGTTAGTTTTTTGAACGCTCCACAGCATTCGGACCAACACGTCTATTAGAAGCTAATTTTGAAAGTTTAAAAAACTGAAAAACGTGTGAAAGTTAGTCTTTCGAAAGTAGTGTTTAAATGCAGAAATGTTCTAAAAACGTTGAAACTACCGCCGGATTTAGCCGACGAGGATTGTTTTTTGAAAGCCTCCACGCTCCTCACCGCAAAAAGTGCGTAATTAGCAGCAAATTTGAAAAATTTGAAGAATCGCAAAAATTCGGTTTTTCTTCATTAGTTTTCAAAATGAAAAAGTTTCTGACGACGTCGAAATTTCCGCCGGATTTACCCGGCAAGGCTTGATTCTCGAATCCATCCACACTTTTCACATCAAAACTATCCCAATTAAGGGCCTAATTTCAAACTTTCAAAATGAGAAAAATGCGAAAAACTGGATATTTAAAAAATAGTGTTCAAATATAAAAAGTTTCTAAAGACAATGTAACTACGGCCTGATTTATCCGAGCAGGTGTGTTTTCCGAACTCCTCCACACTATTCAGATCAAAACGGGGCCAATTTAACACCGATTATTAAAATTCAAAGCTTTGAAGAACGCGAAAGGTTTGATCTTTCGAAAATGGTTTTCAACTAGAGAAGGTTTCTAAAGACATTGAAACGACCGCAGGATTTATGCGGGAAGGTTCGTTTTTCGAATCTATCCACACTATTGACACCAAAACGTGGCCAATGGGGGGCCGCTTTTTTTAACAAAATATCTGAAAAGCCCTATAAGATTGAGCTTTCAACAATGCTTTTCATATACAGATAGCTTCCAAAGACCATGCAACTTTCGTGGGATTTATCCGGCAAGACTAAACGTTCGAATCCCTCCACACTATTGACACCAAAACAAGGCCAATTAGGAACCGATTTTTTAAACTCGAACATCTGAAAAGCGCAATAACTTCGAGGCATCAAAAATAGTTTTCATATGTGGAAAGTTTCTACAACCGGAGAAACAACCAGTGGATTTATGAAAGAAAGTTCCCGTTTACCCGGCAAGGCTTGATTGTCGAATCGATCCACACTTTTCACACCAAAACGCACCCAATTAAGGGCCTAATTTCAAACTTTCAAGATGAGAATTATGCGAAAAACTGGATATTTCAAAAAATAGTGTTCAAATATAGAAGTTTCTAAAGACAATGTAACTACGGCCTGATTTATCCGAGGAGGTTTGTTTTCCGAATTCCTCCACACTATTCGGATCAAAACGAGGTCAGTTTGCCACCGATTATTAAAATTCAAAGCTTTGAAGAACGCGAAAGGTTCGATCTTTCAAAAATGGTTTTCAACTAGAGAAAGTTTCTAAAGAAGTTACAACTTTCGTAGGATTTATCCAGCAAGGTTCAACTTTCGAATCCCTCCACACTATTTACACCAAAACAAGGCCAATTAGGAACTCATTTTTTAAACTCAAAAAATATGAAAAACACAATATCTTCGAGGTATGAAAAATAGTTTTCAAATATGACAAGTTTCTACAACCCTAGAAACTACCAGTGGATTTGTGAAAGAAGGTTCGTTTTACGAAACCTTCACACCATTCGCATCAACACGTCAATTAGAGGCTAATTTTCAAACTTAAAAAAACTGGAAAACGTGCGAAAGTTAGTCTTTCGAAAGTAGGATTTAATTGCAGATATTTTCTTAAGACGTTGAAACTACTGCCGGATTTAGCCCAAGAGTTCCATCCAAAGTTCGAGCTTTCAAAGAAAGTTTTCAAATGAGCAAAGTTTCCAACGACCATCCACACTTTTCACACCAACAAGAGCCCAATGTCAAACTTTCAAAATGAGGAAAATGCGAAGAACTGGATATTTCAAAAATAGTGTTCAAATATAAAAAGTTTCTAAAGACGTTGTAACCATCGCCGGATTTATCCGGGCAGGTTCGATTTCCGAATTCCTCCACACTATTCAGATCAAAACGAGGTCAATTTGCCACCGATTATTAAATTTTTCGTTTGACATGAAAAATACTACTACATAAAAACACTGCACAATAACTTAAACAATTTGTTGCAATTTTCATTTTATTTTCTCAGAATGTATAATAACAGCAAATAGAGTCATCATTAATGTCAGGGTTGACCCACTATAAAAAACCGATAAACAAAATGGAGAACTTATTCTATACTACTGAAAATGGACACTGAATAATTATCGCAATATTAACAAGGCCACTCTGTATAGAAGATGAGAAGAAGCCCTGCGTGCGGTCAAGGGCGTGCACCTTGCGCTTTATAGTCCTGTAAAATCAGACTGAAACCATGAAAAAGCCAATGGAATCGGATTGGTACCCGGAAGATTGAGCGTAGGTTCGCACATCAGATTTATGGAAATGCGCCTCCCAACTAGGACAAGCTTGGTGACGAGTAAGTTTCCCACGCGCCTACAAGGAAAAAATCCCACAATGATGGGTACCATCGCCGGCCCAAATTCGCCTCCACCGCAACAGGTCTAAACCGCCTGGGCTAACGCGACGGGCCGAAGAAGACGCTTCTGAAGAGCAGCAGCCGAAGAGACCAGTGAGTGACATTGACTCCGCGAAGAAACACGCACCGTCAACCAATCGCGAAAAAGTTTGTTAGCCCCTGCATCTGAGCAAGTTCAGAAATCCATTCGAAAGGTAAGAGGGTTTGAGTAAGCGTTGCATTTTAGCTAAAGGACCTTTTGGGTCCTAAACCTTTGGTGGTTCCGATGTAGAAGGTTGCCCTTTTTCAAATTTGCTCTTCAGCTCAATCAAAAATGTGCCTCCAAAACCTTTTGAGTTTAGAGCATTCGAGTTTGGCTCGTCCAATCCAGGTCTTGTTGACTAGAAAATAACGGTTGCAAAACTGCTAAATCAACATGAAAAAGCCCAACAAAGTTCTACGGATTTTGCGGTAAAAATGGCACCAAAAAAAATCCGTTCAACGCGAATTAGATCTGCTAGAGTACATCGGTCCATTAAGCAAATTTGACCATCGGTCACCGTCGTCAACTAACTGTAGTGTTCACTAAATTCCAATTAGCATAACCGAAAGATGCCCGCCGGCTGCATTTGTAGTCATTTTACATTTTTGTACAGTTGCTGCCTGTTTACACATATAAATCGGTACCTAGAAACCCAGTTTTGAATTTAAAAATGACGACAATGTTTCCATTCATTCATTGTGCCATTGGCGTCTCGGCGGAACGATTAATTATATTATTATCGGCGATCTCGAGTCGCTAGGAAATGGGCAACAGTACAAGCGAAAGTCGTACTGTCGGCCACAAAACAGGGATTAAGATCGACAGGTTTTGGGCTACATTTCCTTCTATTAACTGGAAAATTGAGGGTTTTTGCCACATTTGGCTTGGTTCAGAGACTCAGATTTTTACACTCAAAAGATCAGTTCAAAGGCAATTTTTGACTTCGATTGCGCAAAATTCGGCTTTCCATTGAGTTTTCCAGGCGATGTTAAATGGGCCTGTATATCTTATTCATTTTGATTCATTTTGGATACATATTTTTATGGATTAGGCAATTTCAATTTCAAAAATCAACACTTCCATTTATAGAGCATTTAATGCTCTTTACTTTGATGGTTTTAACCCAGCAACTTTAAGCTTATTTGCTGGACTTGCTTGGGAATTGTCTTTTTCTCCAACGCTGCTTTTTATAAGAATGACTTTGGAATTACTGCCTAAAGATACTTTCAGCAAAAACTGTCAATTTCGACAAAAGCGAACGCATTGTCTTCAACTGGCCATTTCGTCTTCATGAAAGAAGCGATTTTAAAACTCAAACAACCAAATAGAGTACTTAATTCTATGTGTTTTCGCGGTTTAAATTGTGCAAATATCAGCCTTCCGAAATGCTCTCCAAGAGATGTTAAGAGGAATCGTTTTTCGGTTCTTTTTTGAGTCAAATGCTGCTTTTTAAGAAAACTGGATAAATCAAAGAGTGAATCTTTAAGAAATTAAAAAAATGGCAATATTCTACGACAAAAGCGACGCGAAGCATTGCCTTCAACTGGTCATATTTCCTTCAAGCAAAACACGATTTAAAAATATATTTTTAATTATTTTTTAAAGGACTAGTTGATTTTAAAACCCCAAAACATCCTCTAAAGAGCATTTAATCCTCGTTACTTGGAACAAATATCAGCTGGAAACACTCGAAGCATTTGCTCAGTTTCCGCCTTAAAAGTGGCGCGTTCCAAATTTTAAACGCTTGAACCCGTTGAACGTTTTTAGGAATATTCTAAGATAATTGCCAAAAAGTCTGCTTTAAACGGGTCAAAATGAATATCAATTTTTACCAACTGAGAAAAAAGATTTAAGGCCTAAAAACAGCAAACAAAAAAACCTTCTGTAAACCCTCCCGCATTTCCAGGCATTTTTGGGCATAAAACTTTAGAAAATTGAACTCACCTCCTCATTCTTGACCTCAGCTGTGCCTTATGAAGTAGCCAATGTCCACTAAAGTTCATAAATATCAGAAGTTTTCCCAAACACTGAAGAATTCGCGGACACATGCCTAATAATCACTTATTATTGCGATTTAATGCACTTGACACATAGACGTCAGAAATTTCCCGATTTCGAAATCGCGTTTTAGAATCCATTGAGAGCTCGGTAAAATATCACAAAACCGCAAAGAAAGACTTAGTTTAACGGAAAATCAGCAGTTTCCAGCTGGAAAACGGAAAATATCGCCGATTTTGTCGTTTTTAGACAGAGCAAAGTACACCCACTGACCCTGTTCACCTGACTAAACTCAACTAATGACGAAGTGACAGCAGCTACGACATGCCAATTTGCCTGGAAACTGCACCCTTAGCGCATAGGGGATGTCTGAGATGAGCTCATGAGTCACCATGCGGAATTCCTTTTCCTCATAACTACCCCAATTTGGGGCCGATTTTGAAAATTCAAAAATGCCTGAAAGCGCCTTCGGAACATTTTCCAGTGGCAGGATTTCGCCAAAAGCAACCTGGCTCAGAGCCCAATTGGGTCCAACTGACGCTCTAAGGAAGCAATCCAAGCATTGCCATGAGCAGTATGGGAAAACGACCCAGACATCCAATAAGTGCATAAAATGCTCAAAAGAGTGCAAAATATCAAGCAAAACGGGTCTAATTCCCGCCTGAGGAAAAGTGCCACGTTCCAAATTGCCAACTACCCTAATCGCACAAATTCTGACCTACAATCAAATCGATTGCATAACAAACTGTTCCAATTGGCCTGACATTTAATGCAACCGGAATAATTGGCATAATTTGGTAAACGTGCCGATTTTTCTTCGATCTTCAAATGCTTTGTCAGTCTCAAGCTGGCACCAAATTGGCCACGCTCTATAATGATGATTATTAACGGGCCAATTAAGGTTAGTATAACTTTGCTCTTTTCGTTCGAAAAGCGGAATCCGAGTGAAGAATGAAGAGACGAATAAAAGCAACAATACGAGTACAACAGACCGGGATTTGCACATGTTAATTGCCGGCTTTCAGAAATGCCTAACAGTATTCTAACACTGGGAAAACGGTGTTTTCGTATTAGTACAGTTATTAACATTAAAATTATATTAATTTTATATGTTTTTTGGAGTCGATTTACTGGTTAAAATCCTATTTAAACAGCCCATCTTTCTCAGCGTAACAGACGTATGAAAGATGCAATTGAACGAATGTGGTAACCGATTCCATCTGGGTAAAAGTCCGGGTTTCATTTACGAGGCTTATTGTTAAGATCGCACATTGTTTGGAGGAAAATGGCTTCATCGCATCCATTCATCCAATTAATTGCGTTTGCAAAACTCACTAATGCAATCCAGGTGTGGGTTCAAGCTGATATAATAAGTGCATGTGGTACCATTAAATAATCTGCCGATGGTCTGCTTTCAAATTTCAACAATAATAGCGGAAAATTCCCAGACGATGTTAAATGCCGTTGTTTCATGCTTGAATCTGAGGGCTGTATGTAACCGATTCAACATCAACATTAAGTGGATACTTTCGAAATTATGTAACATTTATTTGATTCGTTTTGCCCGCGGTAATTTTGATGGTTTTTTCAGGGTTTTTCAGGAAAAAGAATGTTCTTGATCATTTGTAAAGCGATTTTTTAAGTCTTGAAACTACTTGAGCGAAGATCAAGCGAAAAAGTGACATGGCGTGAGCTTCATGAATTAAAAATTCCTAAGAAAATTCTCAAAGTCCTCGGTGTTATGAGGCAAACTGTTCCCTATATAACAGCGAAAACCGTTTATTGCCGCCGAGCCTAATTATGGAGAAACTAATTTTTAAAACATGGGATGCAAAATAAATTGGCAGAAAATGCAGTCGTTGGTAACTAGAATTTGGAAATTTTCTAAAAGATACTGTAAATTCTGATCGCAATAAGCGTTCTCGGATTAATAAAGAAATATTTTCTCCATATGATGCTAAAAAGAGCAAGTTGCGGACGAGTCTCTGTTAAGAGACTCGAATTTTTGAAAACTCGTCTGATTAGCGGATAAATCCGTCGTTGGCGATCCAAGTTTAAAAATTCCTGCAAAATTACTCAACACTTCGATTGCAACTAAACGTCTACAGTTTATAAGGCAAAGCTTTCTCTATGCAACTGCAAATAGAGTTAGTTTAGCACAAATTTAGGTTTGGAGAAATTAGCTTTTGACTTAGCGAAAAATTATGCATTAGTAACCAAATTTAAAAAAATAAAAAAAAATACTGAAGGCTTCAGTCGCAATTAAACTACTAGAAGTTATAAGGCAAAGCTTTGTCTAGGCAACGGTGGAAAAAGCTAATTCTTTCCAAGTATAGTTTTATATAATTAATCTTTGAAACATGGGCTGCAAAATGGATTGGAAGAAGGAAACTTAGCTGGCGAACAAATTTGAAAAATTTCGAAAAGTTTTCGTGGAGCTCCGGAAACAATTAAACTTCTACATAATGTATAGAAAAGTTTGGGTTAGTCCAAGTTTCCCAAATTCATAAAAAAAATGCACAAGTTTAAAATCGCTCTTAGATTTTTCATAGTTTTAGGTAAAAATCCGCTCTATGGAACGGAGAAGTCGCGCTGTTCTAACAAATTTCACTAAAGACATATCATTTTTTGAAAAATACACTGTGAAATTGATTGGCAGGAAAAACATAGTTGGCAAACCAAAATTGTAAAAAATTAGTGACTCTCGATTATCATATGAACCTACAGAACACATTTGTTCTATATAATGGCAGAAAGTGCAAGGAATCAGAAAATCCGTATACAGACAAATATATTTTTGAGAAATAGGACTTAAAATGTATTGACAAGGTGGGAATTTAAGTTTCCAAAATTCATGAAAAAATGCATAAGTTTAGAATCGCTCTTAAATTTCTCAACAGTTTTAGGTGAAAGCCCGCTCTATGGAACGGAAGAAGTCTCGATGTTCTAACAAATTTCACTAAAGATAAATCATTTTTTGAAAAATACACTGTAAAATTGGTTGGCAGGAGAAAACATGGTTGGCAAACCAAAATTAAAAAATTGTGAAAAATGAACGATACTCGATCATTATATAAACCTACGGAACTCGTAGAAGAAAGTTTGTTCTATATAATGGCAAAAAGTTCAAGAAATCAGCTAATCCGGATAGAGACAAATACATTTTTGAGAAACAGTCCTTAAGATGTATTGACCCGGTGATAATCCAAATTTCCAAAATTCTTAAAAAAATACACAAGTTCAGAATCGCTTTTAAATTTTTCACAGTTTTAGGTAAAAGTCCGCTCTATGGAACGAACAAGTCCCGATGTTCTACCAAAGTTCACTAAAGACAAATAATTTTCCGAAATATACACTGTAAAATTGATTGGCAAGAGAAAACATCGTTGGCAAACCAAAATTTTAAAAATTGTAAAAAGTGAGCGGAACTCTCGATTATCAATGAACCTACAGAACACGTAGAAGAAAGTGTGTTCTATATAGGCAAAAAGTGCAAGGAATCAGCAAATCCGTATAGAGACAATATATTTTTAAAATATAGTCCTTCAAATGAATTGACCTGGTGGGAATCTAAGTTTCCAAAATTTATAAAAGAATACACATGTTAAGAATCGCTCTTAAATTTTTCACAGTTTGAGGTAAAAGTCCGCTCTATGGAACGGAAAAAGTTCTGATGTTCTAGCAAATTTTACTAAAGACAAATTATTTTTTGAAAAATACACTATAAAATTGATTGGCAGGAGAAAACATCGATAGCAAACCAAAATGTAAAAAATGAGCTAACCTCTCGATTATCATACCAACCTACAGAACACGTAGATGAAAGTATCCTCTATTTAACTGGAAAAGTGCAAGATCTTAACAAATTCGGTTTGAGCTAAATTATTTTTTGAAAAATTGTCATCAAAATGTATTGACTTGAATCAGGTACAACTTAATTTTAAAAATTCATAAAAAATTACTCAAAGCTCAGATTGCTGTCAAACTTTTAGAAATTATAGAGAAAAGTTTGTTCCATCGGATTTTATCTGAGATAAATGATTTTTTGAAAAATTGACTGCAAAATGGATTGATAGGAAGGGGGCAACCAAATTGAAAAGTCTCGCTCATTTGGGTCATGTACAAGGTGTCCAAATCTACTGGCCAACTAGTAGAATGTGCCCCTTAAGGCAAAAATCCTCATCAATCAACTGCGTTCTCTAATGGCACAGATGTATTGCGTTTTTTTACTTCCACACCCTTTTAGTCGATTTCAAATAAATCAACACATTGGGGTCTGCCTCACTTCGGTTTTTTTCCAGACAAATCACGCTCAAGTTCAGTTTTACCAGCTGCGTTCTCAACTCAACAGCAGTTAAGTAGCTGAAATTGCCAACGTTTTCTTTGAGTCAACGTACCATAAGAGGGCCTTGAATGGCGGCAATTGTTTCAACCGAATCGAGCGCCTTTTTGTCCATTATGGTTGAACGGTCATCATTTGCCTCTTTAGTCAAGCGATCAATGCAATGGCGTGGAAAAATCGCTCAGAATACCGTTGTTTAAACAACAAAAAAAATGTTTTTAAACCAATTTTTTCCAACGGAAAAAGACGTTGAATGAGCGCCATCATTAAAAAGTACTTGCGCAACTAATGGTTGTTTAGATGAAGATGCGGTCAATAAAAGTGATAAAAATGCGCCTCCAAGTACTCAAATTACACCAGATCTGGGTTAACAGCTGGCCGAGGCACGGAGACTGAAGAGTTTCAGGCTCATTTAACAGGAAAACGGCTTAATTAATGAAGATTATTTGTGTTGTTTCAGATCGCATTAACAAGCTGGCATGCAGTTACTGTACTTAATTATAACAGGAATCGTCCTCCAGATATGCTACGCAGGTGACGATGGAACCGGCGAATCGGATGGAGACACTTCGAGAAAAATTCTCGGCTCCAGGTAAGTTACAGGGTTATTCAAGGTGTATAGAAGGAGATATAAGAATTCACTTAATTCAAAAAAATATTTTTTTTTTACTGACTAGCTGAATATTTCAAAAGCAAATCAATTGGCAAGTTTTGAAGTTTTTCCCTATTTATTTTGGACGTTAAACACAGTCCAAAAGTCAGCGAATATTGACCACGCTGTACATTCCAGTGTGGTAACCTCCGTATCAGTGGTGATGGACACCGCCAATAAGAAGCACACCATTTTCACGGATGCAATCGGGAGGCCTCAATCCAAACCCAGCAATCCATCAGAACTGGCCAGTCCCATCGACCTCCTCAATCCTGATCGCTACGAGTTCTACACCTTTGACGATCATGGCGATCTGGTGAAACGCCTGATGTCTTTGGAGGAAATCCGCAGTATAATTGCAACTGGAGATGGCGACGTTCTTGATCTCGACTCCTTCACATCGCAAGATTTCCTTCCGGAAAAACGCGTCAGCGACGTTGTAACCAACGTCCAAAGCGTGGTCAAGGATGAAATGGAGGTCCTGAAGGACTCGCTAACCAAACCCATGTTTGATACTCCCGATGTGAGCGACTCTTGGAGCATGATCCTACCGGCTGTATTCGGGAATTCTGGCGAAGACATCAAGCCTGAACGGCCAATTGGTTTTGTCACCCCTGATACCATCATGTTGGAGCCGTCCAGTGCTGCCAGCACTCGAAGGCCCGTCACTTTGTCCACTCCCATTTATTACAGCAGCTCCTCACCTTTGCTTACCACTAGATCCGCAACTGAGCCAGCGATCAATGTGCAGATTATTGCGAACAGTGAAGCTGAAGGCCCAGGAGCAGCTGACCATGGTAAGTCCACTTAAATCTGTTTGTCTCACTCTGTACTAATCTCAGGACATTAGGGTGGCCCGTAATTTTGAACTACCGCACTAATCTATTAACGTCTTTGTTGCTAACCAACAGTTGCGCTGCAGACAAGTGAAGCGCCCACCAGATCTACAGTCCCTCCACGAACCAGCGCGGCCCTAGTGCGCACCTCCACCGCCACTCAACAGGCTCCGCCCACAACAACACCAAGTCCACCATCGACATCTTCAACCTCCACCACTCTGCAACCAATCACAAGCACGAAAGAGCCCACAAAGACTACAAGCGCCTTGAAACCTCTCCCCAACATCTTCGGCCTGCCTCCGTTGGAGACCTTCAGGCCGCCCACCACGTCCACACACCCACCCCGCCCCACTCACAACATTTTCGGGTTGCCCCTCACCAGCTCTACGCTTCCACCGCTGTCCTCCACTCCTCCTCAAAATAAAACCGAATATCCCACGCAAGCAACCACTTGGAGGCCCACGCCTGGGCTGTTCAGCGCGTTTAAAGAAATGCTGGCGCAAACTACTACTCATATGGAGCCGGAGGAGGCCACAACTACCACCAATTGGGAGACGACAGAGCTGCCCACCACTACTGAGCAGGAAACGAAAATGCCGCCCCTTCTGAGCGCTCTGGACGAGGCCCAGAAGCTGTCCGCCTCCGAAATGCTCAACAATCTGCTGTGGACGACCAATATTTACGAAATCAACACCGAGTTGGCTGCTGCGCAGCCCAATGCCTCGCTAGTGGAGCCGGATCAGCGCTTTGACACGTCTGATAGCGCTTCAGAAGTGCAAACGACCACTCTGGAAGGCTTGGAGACATCCACTCAGTCTCCCAGCGAAACTTCTTTCTCGACTTTAACACCTGTTAGTAACGATGTTGGTTTAGCAGCGACTACAGAAGATGGGGAGTTGACTGAAGCTGCGCCCACTGAAGAGGAGGGCACGGATCTGAGTAGGCAGGAGGACATTGAGTTGGGCACCTCCACAACAACAGAACTGCCCACCTCCAGCCCTCTGGAGGCCGCTAGCAACCTCAACAGCTCAGTGGAGCAGCTGCTGGCCCAAGTGAATAACCAGCCGGCCGCTCTGAGCGGCTTTCAGTTCACTGAGGCTCAGAGCGCCTCTACTCAGCAGCAGCAGGAGACAACCACCTACTACTACGTGGTCATGACTAAATCAAAGCCCGCCAAGGCGGACCTCAGCTTGGAACAAGCCATTATTGCCGAGGAGATGAAGAATGCGTCCCTGGTGCAGCTGGAGGTTGCAACTGAGACCATTCAGAATAGCTCTGAAGCCCCCACCAGCACTCAGGAAGAGAGTGAGGCTACAACTACTGAAGGGTTCACTACGGAGGGTTCCACACAGGAAATCGCAACTAAGACCATTCCCAAACCTTCGATAGTCATCACGGTGAACCCGAATGGGACTTTGGTCACCGAAAGTGGACACCTGGTGGCCAACCACTCGTTGTCCAACCCAAATTGGACCTTGGTGTCCACCGTAGCCCCCCAGCAGGCTTTGAACCTGCCGCCCCCTACTCTGCCCTATCCAGAGGCAGTGGCTCCTAATCCAGTGGACCTGGAGGCAAAACCAATGCAAGGCTTCGGGCTGGAAGAGAGCACCGCCTCTTTGGATGTGGACGTGCATCAGTTCATCCAGCTGTGCAACGAACTGGCCTTCGGGTTCTGGAAAACGGTAACGACAGGCCTGAGTTCGGCCCGAAGCGTTTTTGTGTCGCCCTTCGCCGCCACCTCCATGCTAGCGATGGTGTTCCTAGGCGCCAAAGGATCCACCTCCGAAGAAATGAACGAGATCCTCAAGCTGGATGACATGGTAACCTTCAATCCGCATCTCACCTTCAAGGGGGTGAGCGAGTCGCTGACTAGTGAGCCGGGGTCGGGAGTGGCCACCACCGCCATCATCAGGGAGTTGTTCAGCGACCGCAGCAAAGGCAAGCTGCTGGACTTTTACAAGAATAGAGTGAGGGCGTTTTATGATGGGTTTGTGGAGGAGGTGGGATATCGGGAGATTGGGGACGTGATCCGGCGCAGGTCCAATCTGCTGGTGAAGAAGTTGACCAATGGCAAGTACCCGCAGTTCTTCGGCGACGCCTCCATCACCGCCCGTCCCCCTCTTAGTGGAGTGAGCATCAACATTTTCGAAGTGAGTGGACCTTCCTCCAATCAAATGTTTTGGGTGGACAGCTAACGCCTTTGTTTCAGACCGATTGTTCGCAAACTGCAACCGAAGGCCGCGACGGCGAGCTCCATTTCATAGTCTTCCCATCCATCAAGCAGCGCCGTTTGGTTCCCGTACCAGCTGTAGTTTACAAGGCCGGGTTCCTGGCTGGATACGAGCCCAGTCTGGACGCCACCGCAGTCTCCATTGGGGGAAAGGACCAAGTGGTGAGCACCATCCTGGTGATCCCCGGCCAGCAAGGCATTGCCGCCCCTGGAGACGGTTTGGCCAGGCTGGAAAAGCGCCTGGTGGAGAGCTCCTTCAAAAAAGGTCAGTTGATGATTGGGCGAAATTCCCGGGGCTTTATGCAGTTGGATTGCAGGCGCTTGGTCCAGACTGCTGCGCTCCCTGATCCCGCGGCCGGGGCTGGAGGTGCAAATTCCTCGGTTCTCCCACAAGTCGGTCATCAATGCCACCCACACGCTGCAGCGCATGGGGCTGCACCAGCTCTTCAATCCTGCTACTGCTGATCTGCGCGGCCTGAATGGCGTGGCAAACGAGCTGCATCTGTCGGATGTGCTGCAGGTGAATCAGTTCGCCACCTGTGGGGAGAAGCGGTCAGAGGACGCGCACCATTCCGAAGTGTATCCTGCTACCACTGTGCGCGCCAGGTGGGTGTGCCGTTGTTGATTAACTGCGCAGAATGAAATTCTCTGCTTTTGTCCGGCAGGTCGGCCAGACGTTTGGATTACATCCCGATTGGGGAGCAGGATGAGCCGCGCGACTACCAGAGGGCGTTCCATGATCCCCTACATGATCCCTCCCTTCTGAAGCTGCCTCTGAATCTACGGCCGCGCCAGGCCAGAATCCCAGAGGTGCCTCGGCTGCGCTTCGATCGGCCTTTCTTGTACTTTGTGCGGCACAACCCCACGGGGCTCATTCTGCACATGGGGCGGTTCAACCCCCGGCTGCTTCCATGAGGGGACGGACCGCGCCTCTACTTAGTGGGTAAATTAGTAAATTATTGGTAGGCCACTTTGGAGCGTCCGGCACAAGAAGACTGTAAATTCATTCATTTGTATGCTTAATTCCGCCCGCTGGGGCGGAATTGTGATTGTAAATAACGCAAAATTACTTAGGTTAGGCTTTATGTTAAGGGCAACTGATTGTAATTTATTGAAGTAATTTCTAATAAATGAAATGTGTGGGATCGAGGTTTTGGCGCAATCTGATTGCTGATCGTATTGAACCGAATGGAGCTAAGTGGAAGTTTCAGGTGCGTCTACACCAGGAATTTTGCATTTTTCCACCATTTTTTTAAAGTAAGTAATGCGAAAACTGTTGGCGTTATAAGGCCTGAAAGTTTCGTACGTGAAACTTTATGAGGTTTTTTTTCAATTGCCTGTTTTTGCGCGGGCTGATTGAGTACGACGTTATATTAAGCCTGGGTAACTCAGTGAATATTTAGGAGTTGGCGCAGTGCTACGCAAATGGCTTGGTGCGCCAACCCAACACACCGGCGCAGTAACTCAGTCCCGTTGCAGGGAAAATGTTGATGACTTTTTTACTTGATTTTAGATTTATTTTTTAAGGGCCATTTATTAATAATACTTTTTTTATATTCTTCAAAATTTCACTTAAAAATTACTGACAATCTTAAGGTATTTTCCGCAAAAAATTATAAAATAAATTTCGAATCCTTCGTCGCTTTGTAAAAAGTTTTGAAATCCTTTTCCAGCTTTGAATTTGGAACAAACATCAGCCAATTTTCGAACGTATACAACCTTATTTGGAAATCTCGTCATCTCCATACCTCGAAGACTGTAGAGTTTTCTAGAAAAATATCAGTTCTATAAACGGAGAAAGTTTCGAATCTGCCCCTTGATTGGATACTATTTTACATTTTTTTAAATCTCGCTATTTTTGCGAGATCTTTTTCTTGCACCGCACCTTCTTGGAAGCTTGTGGTGTTAAAAGCGAACGACAAAGTTTTATAATATTTTACAAGTTTTTATCAATTTATTGAAGTACTTTATCATAAGGACAACGTATTGGTTTGCGAATTTTAAAAAACTTCTGCGGATTACAAACGAGTAAATCTAAGCTAATGGAGTAAATTTGAAAAAACAAACAGGCCTATTTCTTCGGCTTTTCATCAGGTTTCTCCTCCTTCTTCTTATCCTTCAAACTGCCCACCGCCTGCCGCACTGCCTCCGATTGAGGATCGACGCCAGGCAGACTCTCAAGCACGCTTTGGAGGAAAGTTGGGTCGTTCATAACAGCCGAATAGTCTTCGTCGTCAACTGCTTCCACTTCCATTGGTTCCTGCTTGGCGGCGCCCGCTTCAGCTGCAAACGACCAAAAAATGTTCAACATGTTTGTCGTTTATTATTTAAAAACCTACAATTATCCTGCATGGACATTTGCATGGCAAAGGCGATCTGCTCGTCTTCGGTCATATTGGCAAAATCCACAGGGATTCTGGATACTGGGGCGGTCGCTGGAGCAGCTGTAGCGCCCTCTTCCATCGACATGGCCAGCGCCCTTTCCAATAGCGCCTCTTCAGTAGGCTCTAAAATTTGTTAAAACTCCTTTTCCTGACTTGCAAATTATAATTCCCCCACTTCAATAATCAAAAAAGTTGTAGGTATAAAGAGCACATAACACCTATACTACTTTTTTGTTACCACAAATAATCACGGGGGCGCCATATAAATGTCGAAAACGGGATAAACTGTACCTTCTTTGGTTTCCGTTTTCTCCTCCTGCTCGTCGCCAGTGGTCCCGCGCGTCCTTCTAGCTTCCTCTTCTTGGCGTTGACGCTGTTCCTCCATCGAGACCCGAAGGGCCTTAAAACGCAACTAGTTTCAGGGCTGCTTTCACACAAATGCAAGTATTACCAAAGCCAATTCTGGATCCTCATTGGGATCAACACCGAACTCGAAACCAGACCCGCTTAGGCCTGCGGCCCCAGTTCCATCCTCCCCCTGAATTATCGGGGAAGAAATCAGGGCGTCAGATAAATGGGGGCCAGGGGGCACCGTGACCAAGTGGCTGCTGCTCCCATCCTGCGGAATAAGCAGTTTTAATGGACACTGTCCGGGTGCAGTGCAAGGGGCGTACTTTGCCATTTAGAGTGCTAACGAACGACGTCAAGACGCCGGAATTTTCGGAATCCTCGCCAAAGCTGATGATATCCACATTGACTTTTTCTTTTTTTAGCTTTTTCGCCAACTTGACTAGCTCCTTCTCGTCGCTGATCACCGGGCTGCCCACAAAGACCACTATTCTCATCTTGTGGTTTTTTCCTTGCCGATGTTTTAGAGCCAACTGAAACCCCACAGGTTAGATAAGCTCGATGTTGCTCACAGCTTTCTTACATGAGCAATGCGGATTCCTGTGTGCAGATTGATATCGCCATCCGGTTGAACCTGGTGCAGCTTAGATAGAATGCGCCCCACATCGCTGGTGAGGGTTGCCAAAACTTCCACACTGGAAAATAAGGCGAACATTAACCAAAAGGGTTTGCTGGACGGCACTGGGTGCACTCACTTGGCAAGCGTGAGCAGCCCCACGTTGTTCTCGGGATTGGACCGGGTCTTCGAATGGCACACTAAATTGACTGCGTCCTGCTGGGCCTGCAGTCTCGTCGGCAGAAAATCCCCATTTCGCATATAGTCGCTGTTATCGACACTGCAAGCGAAAACCCCTCCTCCATTAGTACTCCAGTGAACACACCCAAACACTCACCAAATCATTGTACTTTCCAGCACCATTCTAGCGGATTTTCCACAATTTTGAGGCAAAATTAAAAACTTTCTGCTTGTTTGGAACAAGAGTTGCTTGTAATGATGACAGGATTGTCAGTGGGTGACAAGTCTATGGTGACAAGCAGGAAAAGAGGTTATTTAGCTGCAGTGATGTCACAATAGTTATTAAATAAATTTTAAAAAACTTCGTAAATTGAAACAATTTGTGATAAAAAATCTCCCTTTCGCCCGGCGGACAAATTAATTGGAAAAATAACTACAAGTATTGCGTCACTGCCAAAAAGTTTGGGGAAAACATAGCTGCAATACGTCATAACCAACGTCAAATCCAAAATCCAAGGGCATCTAATCCAGTCTAACCTCAAAAAAACCTAGCAAACTTGGGTGCTTTATCGAGCCCCACATTGCACCAATGCAGCCTTAAATCGCCTAACCCACGTTATGTTTGAACATATTATAAGGCGCTCATTCAGCCAGTTGATCAAGCCAATCTTTAAAATGAGTAAGTACGCCTTCATGCCCCCAAAGCGCGTAAAAAACTCCACTTGCAGGGCCCGTCAGCAACAAACAGTGTTCGACCGCGTTCTCAACGGCCAAACTATTCGACTTGGAAGCTGAGCGCTTGGTTTGGATAGACATGGAGGTATGTAGGTGCTAGCCAGCTGGACCAGGCCTAAGACCATCTGGTTATTGTTCCAGATGACTGGCTTGAACGTCGATCAGGATAAAATCATGGAAGTAGCTTGCATAGTGACCGATACCGATCTGAACATTGTCGCTGAGGGCCTAGAAATCGTCATCAACCAGCCGAAGGAGACTCTGGATAACATGCATGAGTGGTGCGTGAAACAGCATGGAAAGGTGGGTGAAAACTGGCTTCCTCGCACCCTCTGTATGGTATTCTATTTCTCCCAGACTGGACTAACAGAGGCCTGTCTCAAATCGCAAACTTCCCTCGAGCAAGCTGAGGACTCCATCATGGATTTTTTAAGGGCACACGTGACACCCCACTGCAGCCCTTTGGCAGGGAACAGCGTTTACATGGATAGGTTCTTCCTTATCAAGTACATGCCCAAAGTACACGACTATCTCCATTATAGAATAGTGGATGTTTCCACTATTAAAGAGCTGTGCCGACGGTGGAACACTCCAGTCTATAAAAGCGTGCCGAAAAAAGAGTTCCAGCACCGAGCCCAGTGCGATATCAAGGAGAGCATCAATGAACTGAGGTACTATAAAAATGCCTTTTTCAAAACCAGCTGACCTTAGGAGGAATTTTAAAAAAAACACCTAGCTATATGCAAAAGAATTTAATAAAATAGTAGGTACTTGAACCAATGGCTTATTCTTTCAACTAAAAACGCCACTGGACTTGAACCGTGAATGTTGCATTTTCCAAGTGAATGAGGTACTGATAATCGCATTGACTAATACGATACAGATGCACACTTTCATCAGTTGCAAATGCCCAGCCAAATGGTTCCATCTTAAGAAGCTGAACTATGTATAATAAATTACATGGAATACTGTTAACGCCCCGATTTATGCTTTATACATTTAACAACATCAACAGGATAAATATCAACAAAAAGTTCAACACTGTATAAAAAATACATTTCAATAACGTCGATTCAAGGCGGGCCAAAAACTCGGCGCGCAAATAAGGAATTTGTTGTGGTTTTTCGCTACAATAGTAGTAGAAGTGGTTTTTCGCTACAAACTACTTAGACAATAAATTGACTGCAATCTGTATGGCAACAGCCTATTCTAGAGTTATAAACAACTATAATACACTTATTTTACATAATTTGTAATCGCGCTTTTAAAGCCCTCCCAAATAGAGCCAGCGTATAAGTAAGTTCAAGGGGAATCGAAGAAAAAGAACTCTTGATATGAACCTCACCCTCAAGTTGAACCATCTGTCCTTAATCAACTAACAATCATCATTTAAATTCTAGTTTTGGCATTCACGAATACTTACATCACATCTCAACGTTAAATGCACATAAATTATGTTACAAAATGCTTACAAATAAATCAGTTTCTTTGCGTAAAACTACAAGATAATCGAAGAAGTCGCGGGCTTTCACAGTTGGAAATTGATTTAGAGCACTTACCTAGCAAATGTTTGGAGTGGAAGTATAAGCCCCATTTTGTATCAACCCCAGACGGGGCTTTAAAATGGAAGCACAATCTGGTATGTTTCAGCAAGGCCCCGGTATAAGAAACCTTTATCTTTTACTAGCCTACAGTTAGGTAGTTGGATGCTGCAACATTGTGGCGTTTCGTAAAAATCGTCGTCTGGCTAGTTCCGACATAGCTATGGGGCCTAAGGGGCCGATTTCGGGAGACGTCGCTATTGCCCTGTAAAGGAACAGGACTTATAGCAGGTTCGGGAAAAAATTGTCTGTGCCTACTATAAATCTGGCAGGATTTGGCAATTTTGTCAGCGCATAAAAGACCTTTGCAGCTAGGCCTGGGTAACTCAGCGAATTTTTAGGAGTTGGCGCAGTGTTGTGCAAATGGCTTGGTGTGCCAACCCAACGCAACGGCGCAAAAACTCAGTTCCGTTGCTGGGAAAATGTTTTCACTTGTTTTAGATTTATTTTAAATGCCATTTATTAATAATATTTTTAAAATGTCTTCAAATTTCAGAATTTTCCAGTTTTGGCCAAGTTTCTTTTTCTTCTAAATGCTGAATTTTCTAAAGTTTCTTATCTATAATCTTAAGGTATTCCCCGTGAAAAATTATGAAATAAAGTTCGAATCCTTCGTGGCTTAGTAAAGTTTTGAAATCTCTTTCCAGCTTCGAATTTGGAACAAACATCAGATAATTTTCGAAAGTTTACAACATTATTTGGAAATCTCGTCACCTCCATTCCTCTGAAGACTAGAATTTGTTAAGAACTGTGGTTTTTTTAGTTTTGACTGAACTTTTTTTACTTTACTTGCTACTCAAGAACGAACTATTTTGTAGTTTCACTTAAAAATATTGACGATCTGAAAGACGCGAAAAATAAAAAAATTTACAAAAACTTTTTTAGCGTCGAATTTGGGACAAAAACGAAAATTCATTCCTCCCGGTTATCCCCGAAAACCATTAAGGTTTTCTCTAAAAGCGATCACAAAACTGAAAGTTTTTAATCAAAAACGCAAGAAAGCATTATTTTCTGATGATTTTCTTTTTTTCGGACAATAATGGGGTCTTTTCAGCCAAAAATGACAAAATTTATTTTGCTAGAAAATTCGCCCCATTCATCGGTTTGCAAGGAACTTTAGAAAACCCATTTCAGCTTCGAATTTGGCACAAAAATCAAATCATTTTATTCAGTTTTTTACTGAAAGTAATTACGATTATCTAGAAAAAGCAATCAGAGTAAAAGTTTACAAAAAATTATTTGACAAATTCACCGCCCTCATCGCTCTGAAGAATTTTAAAGTTCATTTAAATGTTCAGGTAATTCCAGTTTTAACAGTTTCTATTAAGAAGTTTTTCTCCGCAAAAATCGCATTATTTTTCAGTTTTAACAAAGTTTCTATTAAGCAATTCTTTCTACGCACAAATCGCATTGTTTTTTAGTATTACTTAAAATACTGACAATCTTCAGGTATTTTCCGTAAAAAATTATAAGATACATTTCATTGGAACACTCGCCTCCTTAACCGCTTTGCAAAAATTTTTGGAAAATTTTTTGCAGCTTTGACTTATGGACAAAACCGTAATAATTAATTCTGGGTGTTTTTCCAAAAATATTTCCCGAACTGAGAAAGCGAAAGTTTATAATCATTTATTTGGAAAACTCTTGGAAACTGGGGTTTCTTCAATTTTAGGTCAATATTTCTAAACAACACTGTCTCTAAACAGAAAAACCTCATTTTTCCCTAACGTTTTACTGATCGATTTTACAAGAAAACTCGTCGACTTTCTTGGGACTCCGTTCTGTTGTAGGGAAAAACGTTACTCCGAAAAAATGTTGGTGACATTTTTTTAATGTGAAAATTCCAGTCTCGAGTCTCGTAAAGTTTTAATAAAGGAATTATAACTCATGAACCGATGAGTTACTCACGCGTTAACTCAGAGAGCGACCACAACTCAATAGCGAAACTTAACACAGTGTTACCCAGGCCTACTTCCAGCTATGAGTGGAGGAAATGTTATTACAATCCAAGCCCTGGTTGATTTTTTGCAAACTTTGAAACGTGCGCTTGAACTAAGCCCGGAATGCCCAATTGCAGAATCGCGGAAAAATTAGCGTCATCCCGCCCAAGCTGGCAGGTTTTTGTCATTTGCCAGCGCATAGAAGAATCTTCCAGTTATAAATTAGGAAAATTGTATTAAAATCCCGGCACTGGGGGATTTTTCAGACTGTGAAACTTGCGGTTTAACTAAGCGCGGAACGACAAACTGCAGAGCCACGAAAAAAATACTCGCGTCAACCCTAAATTTAGCTGGTTTTTGCAAATTTGCTAGCGCATAGAGAAAGCTTCCAGCTTCAAGTGTAGAAAATCCGTTGGTTTGCTTGACGCTCGCTTGAAACTTTCATCTCCATAATATCTTGCAAAACAAATTTCGCAACTTTCCCAGAAAAACCCTCCAGCTACCAATCCACAATTTTTCATTCAAATCGAAACCCGAGGTGATTTTTTACAAGCTCGCTTGGGCACTTTTGCCGGTGACTTACCTGAAGGTGGCCTCTACCGTTTTCTTCAAATGCTTGGTCAGATCGTGCGTGTGCTCGCGCTCGTGGATCTGCAACTGCGATTGGCTGGATTTGAGCTGGTTCGATCGCTGCCACACGAAAAAAAACCCAAAATTTTACCCCCAAAACTTCACGCCTCTAGTTGCTACCCACCTGGCCATAATAATGGACAATTTGAGAATTCAACCAGGGATGTTGGTCGAGCTGAGCGGCCGTGGGCCGCTTCCCGGGCGAAACGTGCAGCATAATGGAAACCAGAACTCGCGCCTCACTTGACAAGCTCTTCCATTGCTCATTCTGAAACCGCACAAATGCATAAAAAGCCCCGAACTATCAAAACCCGCCTCCCATACAGAGTCCAGCTGTCCCGAGTCCATTTTCTTGAGCAGCGCTTGGGGACTGTCCGGATCGCGGATTCCAAACGGACAACACCCGCAAAGCATTATGTAGAAAATCACTCCTAGGGACCAAATATCACAGGCAGCATCGTAACCTGAATAAACAAAATAAAGCAGCTGTAGTCCTTTTGGGGCGGGTTTAATAAGGATTTACTAACCTTGACGCTTTAGCACTTCGGGGGCCACAAAAGACTTTGTGTAGCAGGGCGTCATCAGCAAGCCATTCTCGGCTTTCAGCTGCAGAAAATTGGGGCTTGAATGCCTGAAATAACCTTCATCAAAAGTCTCACCTGTTTAGCGAAGCCCAGGTCCGAAATCCGCACACTATCCGGCGCATTCCGGTCGGCCAACAGTATATTGGCCGGCTTTAAGTCCCGATGAACCACGCCATTTTCGTGCAAATACGCTATGGATTTGGCCAGGGTTTTCAGTATTACTGCCGATTCCTGTTCGGTTAGTTTGCCCTGTGCAGAAACAACTGAGATTTAGCTTTCAACGCGAAAATTTGAAGAGGATTTTTGTGCACCTTCATCACCATATAGTCCAGCAAATCGCCCCCCGTTAGCAACTCTAGCACCAAATAGACGCTCTGTGTATCTTCGTAGACTCGCTTCAGACTGACTATGCCAGGATGCTGGTTGTATCTGCGCAAAATTTCCACCTCCTCTCGACAGTCGCATCGGGACTTTTCAATTATCTGAAACAGGGGACTTTCAGCAGGAAAAGTCGCAGGCTTAAAATACCGGAAAATCACCTTAACCGCGTACTTTTGACCTGTGGCTTTGTGAACGCCCAGTTTGCAGTAGCTGTAGCTGCCGGCGCCTAAGAAATCCTTCAACACGTACTCATCGAAGAAGTTGCCAGTGTTGCCGCCGAAGGAGTTCACCGGCGTCACCATCGACTTCTTGTAAACGGTGCCGTTCTCCAGCAGACAGGGCGCAATGTAGCTGAAGCTGCAACAGCAAGTTTCACCAAGTTGGTTGCGATTTTATCAGCAACTTGGTAATGTGGGCCTTTGCAATCGCTTGAATCGCAACTCCTTACCCTTTAAACAACTCGTGTGTGTCTGCACTAACCGGTATTCCCGGGGAATCTTTGGGCGTCTTGCACGTGTACTCTTCATCGAAGTACTCGTCCTCCCGGCTGCACAGCACTGGTTGAAACGGCGGCTTGATCTTCTTGGCAAACAAGTCATCAAAGTCGATGGTGGCGAAGAATTCGTGGCGCTTTAAGTCCTGGGCGCCTTCGGCTCCCGACCCCAACCTGGAAAACCACACGTTAAGGAGAGCGATATGCACGATCTTTTGTAAAATTTGTACACTCAAGGAAGAAGGAAGCCTGGTTGCAAGTAAACTTTTCGATTTCATTGAACAATATTGGCTCTTTCTCACGGATGAAAGCGCAAGTTGCCAGCAGATCTCGTTTGAGAGGAATGAATTGTTAAAAAATTGCAAAATTTGGAAAAATACTTTTCAAGACCCATCTGCATCTCGAAAAATCAACTTTCGGAATATAGGAATATTTACCGGTTGGCGGGGTTTCTCTTAAAAAGAACCCTAAGCAGACTTTGCGCCTCCGGACTGAGAATGGTGGGCATGGCAAGTTTGGCTTTGAGGATTTGGGTGAGCGTATCCTTGCGATCGTGGCCCTCAAAAGGCAGCCCTCCAGTCAGCAACTCGTACATCAGGACGCCAAACGACCACCAATCGGCTGCATATGAATGGCCTTTGCGGCTCACCACCTCAGGAGCCATGTATTCCACCTAAACAAGCGCCAAATCGGTCAAATCGCGTGAAATTGATGGCACATTTCCTTTCAACAGACCGTGCCGCAAAAGCTGTACGCCACATCCCCGAGGGGCAACTTCGAAAGTCCAAAGTCGGTGAGCGCAATGTGCCCATCAGAGTCCAGCAGCACATTTTCAGGCTTTAAGTCTCTGTAGATTATTCCTATTGAGTGCAGATGGTCCAGGGCCAAGGCCAGCTCTGCCAGGTAGAATTTGGCGTCCTCCTCAGTGAACATCACCTGCACGAATCGGAACCTTCCATTAATACCTAGCTGAGGTTTATCAACGTTTTTACTGTCCATGCATGTTAGGACACGTTTTCTGACCAGGCAACCTGTCGAAACTTGTTGGATTTTGCTTCAGTTTCAGAGCTATTTATCGCTTGTTCACTATTCAACCTGAAGCAAGAATTCCTTCAGTATGTAAAATCCCTTATAGGTATATCACCCCGCGTTTTTAATATACATAAAAAATCCAAATTAATTTGCTTTTTGTCAAAAGCTTGATTCATACTGCTGCTTAAATTGCTAGAGAATCTGGCCACAAACCTCTTTGTTCAGTCGCGTGAAAAGATCGCCTCCTTTGAGAAAATCCAGGATCAGATAGAGCTTGCCTTCGGTTTGAAAAGTGTAGTGCAACTTAACAATGAAGGGATGCTGAACATCCACCAGGATGTTGCGTTCTGTTTGCGTCCGAAATCTGTCCTTTATCTACAAATTACTAAATTACTAACCCAGTATTTTCCCTAAATGGTGCCTTGGGTACCTTCAAGGTGGCCTTTTTCAGCACCTTCATAGCGTAAAGAGTGCCGGCGTCGCTGCCGACGATTTTCTGAACCAAAAACACCTTCCCAAAGGAGCCCTGCCCTAGCACCTTCAGCAGGTTGAATTGGGACGGGGTGGCCTTTTCATGTCCGTTTTTCGCTATCTGAAAACGCCCATTGTTCGTTCAACAGAGCCTCAATTAGGGGGCTGTTTCGCAATTACCTCCCCCATGTCAATTTCCACGTCCTTTTCACTTGAGCCACCGGCCGCCTCGTCGCCCCCAACCGCTTCATCTGTATCCCCCGATTGAGACTGCAACAAATCCCCATTTTAGCTGCGCGTAAACAATAAGCATGCTACAGGTGTTTAAATAAGCAGCATAAATAAACACGACACTGTGCAACAGTTGCTGAGCCAAATGGGGCTTGAATTGAACCGGCCCAGGCCTCAACGGGGGTAAAAGCGCGAGCTTTGTCCTGATATCGAGCTGCTTATGCAGGCTGTTTGAAAGGCAGCCCCTTGAGAAACCTGGCGATTTTTCCCCTAACAGGGGGTGTCTCACCTCAGTGTTGGCGCGCTGAATCTGCCACAGCTCGCCAGAATTCGCTAAGGGCATCCTAAGTGATTTCACTTAACGTTTTTCATGTGAACAGAAGGAGTTTTGGCTGGCAAGCTCAAAACTCGATAGAAAACCAAACTGTTTGACACTGACAGCAAGAGGTAAGGCACATCTGATCGGATCCAGGCTCACCAACATGAAGGGGTACTTTAACCTGAGAAGGGTATTTTTGTTAATTTAAATTAAAAAAAAACTTGGAAGTTTAACAAAAATCATCAAATCTTTCAGGACTTTGCTTGAAAAACCCCGAAATAAAATGGGCAGTTATTTCTTTGCGCCCGGTATAGTTACGCCACAAGCAGCCTGTGGACTTCAGGGAGGGTAACTTCCACCCTTCAGGCCAAACAACCCTTACATAACAGAGTTCATAAGGGCTAAACACGCTCAGCACAGTTCACGCCCTCGATTCAAATAGACGCGCAGATGGGCATGACGATTGACGGGTTGCCTTGCATCCGCTTAGGTGGCAATCAGGTTGCCGGTTGCCAGTAAAAGGCGCCGAATTGAACGAATACTCTTGTAATGTGCAGGCCAATTGTGGGCCTGTGTGCCTTCAGAACGCCACTAAATCAACTCCCTTAAGCCATACTCCTAGTTTTAAGTGCTAATTAGCCTGAGAAGCGGATTTACTCCATTTTAGCCTGTAAATAACCCCAGCAAAGATTAAAGGCGCAAGCACCTGGCCACACCTGGCAACCCTGTGCGAGTCTAACCCTAGTTGGCATCCGGTATTTGTTTGGTTCAGCCATGCCAGCATTCGAATTAATTAATCACAGCGTCATGTGTCGAACGTTGTGGTTTATTTTAATCGAAAATTAACGTTTTCACGTCATTGGGGCCCATGTGATGTTGTGAGCACAGCCCCAATAGCCTCAGCCATGTCCGTCTTGGTCGAACCGTGTTCTGGTAAGTTTCCTGTCTATTTAAAGAGCCTTTGTTTGAACTCTCAATTGGCATTTTACATTGAATGGCTTGCCTTCAACAGCTCCAGCAGGCGAACATTCGTTTGCTGGCTAATTTCGTGTTCAGTGGGGCTTTTATTGCCTAGTGGGCCTCAAGGGAATTTGCTTGTGGGCTTCGCCCCCTTTTAATTACTAACCTTATGTTGGCGCAAAGCGATAAATTCCTATTTCTTATCAGTAAACGATTGATAAAGTTGGCGTTCGTTGGCGTCCACAACGTTGCAACGTTGCTGTTAAATCGCCTACACCACAAACAAGTTGAAACTTGCAAATTTTAGGTCCGATATGGCGAAAGCGTCCCTTCAAGGGCCTGGATGGCCCGGATGTGAAACGAAGACGCGTCGCCCAACTGCAGCTGGAACCCGAGAGACCGAGATCATCGGACGAAGATACTGAGAGCGTCAGCAGCATACAAGAGAAGGAAACCGGTACGAAAGGATCAGCCGCTGTAGCCACCCGGACGCGGACCGAAGATTGTAAACATTTCGTTTTAGATTATGTTAAGGACGCTTCGGAACCAGAGTCCCAGACCTCAGTACAAAGTTCCACCGATGAATATGAAGTCGAAGTGGCGTACGAGGTGGAATCTAATGGAAATTCCAGCGATATTTCTTCACCTGAATCAGTAGGTGCTTCGAATATAAACAGGCTGCTTGCACTGAGTGGGGCATAATGAAGGAGAATTTGCGCTTTCAACAAAAAAGTATGCACTTCTTTGCCCTGACAACACCAGCCGGGTATAAGTGAATCCTTCATTATCGCCCATCTCGCTTGCGAATGCCCAGTTTACCAATCTCAGAAGAAAAGTCTATAATTCTTTGATCATTCCAGGATATGATGGTGGCTGTGGCAGCTGCAATGATATGCAACAAGCCCTTGGACGCATGGCTAACTGATGCTGAGGCGTCGTACTCAGATTCTAGCACTTCATTGGACGAGATCGCCTTCAGACGACAAGAGTTCACCACCTGCTTGCTATGCAAGACCAAGAACCCCAACCCACTCTACAGATACTGTGAACAATGTTTTCAGGTAGATATTGACAGTTTTAGACACTTTATTGTGGATCTGCTTGGAGAGCGTTTAACTGGGCTCGCTAATCGAGCTGCTTCGAATGGCAGGACGTTGAACGAACTTCCATGCAGGTCCATTGGCCAAAGACTTAGACTGTAATCATTTTTATAAGTTGGAGTATGCACAAATATGTGTGTGTTTTGTTCGATAACAAGGTGGTTTAATGTGTGGACTGTTAAAATGGACTATAAAGTGTTTTTGAGCTGCTCACGAGGCTAAAATTTAAAGGACTTTACCGATTCAGTGTTAGAACAGTTTTTTTTATAATCTTAAAGGACTTAGGATAAAAGAACGGCCGTTTCCGGCTGCGCTATATTAAGTTCCAGTTTAAGCAGGTAAATTCTTTCCATTTTTTATCACCAGTATTATTTGATTTCGGTTTGTTAAAGTGAGGTAAGCAAACATTCTCCATTCTTGGTGGTTCCTCTGTGTTAGAACATTAGAGCATTTTCACCCAGCTGATTGTGTCTAGATTTTTTTTGTTTAATAGGATGTCTGATGTGCCACGGAATGAATCATGTAAGACACATGTAATTTGATGTGGTAACACTCCAACTGCCCATCGAAGGAAACAGGGTTGCAGGTAAGTAGGCAGGTAAGTCGCACTTGATAGCAAAAAGCAGCGGGGCACTCTGCCTTGTGAAGTTGCTATAGTTCTAGTGTTGCTGCTATAGATCTAGAGTAGAACTGTATTTAACATTAAAAACACTTAGATTAAGTGACTACTAAAATGTTACTCTATGCTCTGCTATTTGAATGGAGTGTCTAGTCAGTTGCTGAGTGGGTAAGTAAGTTCTGGCCTCATCGGTAAAGCACAATGTCCTTCGTGAGCCAAAAAAAATCTAGACACATTTTTCAACTTTCATTTAGGAACGTTCCATTGACTGCATTAAAGGCACTCATGCCAAATGACTTGCCCTGTATAACTTCGGACTCATCGACAGAGTGTGGCAGAATGCATTATAGAACCATCTATTAATAGCTGTCTACATATACAGGGTGTTTGGTAAGTCGATGTCCAAAATTTACAGGGTTGGCAATCATCACGTTGTGCGATTTGAGTTAAAGTTTCAAAGTGTGTTATGGGTTGTGCGAACTTGAGCTACCTGCCTTGGATTGAGAGTTCAAATGTTTTAAAAGCGAGTGAGGTGAAAATGCTAATTTTTCGCTTATTCACATATTTGAAAAAATCAGTCTTTAGCATGGTTTAAATGAAAATTGCAAGATCAAACCGATTCAGGATCGAAAGTTTGAATTTTGATTTTTTTAGGGAAAGTGTCGAGTTGATCGAAAACGTTTTTTATGCCATTGTTTACAGGGCTGGCAAAAATCGGTTTTTGGTATAATTTCAAAGAAAATTGCACGATTCCATCTGGAAGTGTATTTTAAAGGGTGTGCCAATTTCAGTTTTAGGCTCATGATCGGAAGTCGGGAATTTGTAAAGGGTGCGTGCAATTGAGCGACAGTGTTTATTTTCCGTCCATCATTAACAGATGTATTTGGCAAAATAAGTCTTGTACAATTTCAAAGAGTATTGCAGGATTCTTAGCTTGAAGTGTCTTCTATAAGGTGTGCGAATCTCAGTTAGTTTCGTTCTCAGGATTGAAAGTTTGAAATATTTAAAGGTACAAACAATGTTTATTTTGCGGCCATAATTAATCTTGCCCAATTTCAATGAGAATTACCGGCTTGGTATAAAGTGTCTTCTATGTGGATAGGAATTTAAAAAATTTCGGAAAAACTCCGAAAATGCTCGAAACAATCTCGGGCAACGAAGACATCGACTTGCCTAATACCCAGTATATTATATGCAGGGAGTCCAGGGGCTGTTGTTGGGTCTTGAAGGTCCAGGTCAGAAGACCGATTGAATGATCAGTGCCACCCATACTGGACACCCTGTGTATCGCATTAAGGGCCATTTCGGCTGCAGAAGGTCCAATCCAGGCCATAGACCGTTTGGCTTATTTGTCCGATTTTGTCATCAGGAGAGAAAGACATTATTGCCGGCGCGGCCCGTCCAGAAACGGTGTTGGGTGAAAGCCAATAAGTACAAGTCTAATGAAATCGCTGCCTTGAAGGCCTACCAGAGCGGCCATTCGCAAGATTCCGGCATGGGCTTGAGTGAGGAGATGTCGCCTTATGGACTGGAGCCGACCATCACAGTGTATAGGTCAGGTAAGTGTACCGTTATTTGCGGCCCTTCGGTGTTAGTCTAGATTAGCTCTTATTCGCAGGTACGTCTGCATCTCTTACCCGTTTATCGGCAAATTTATCGCAGAAAAGTAAGTTGCGTTCTGCAAAACGCAAACTTCTCAAGAAAACCGGCTTGAAAAGGGCGCGCCCGTTCTCTGAAAGCAGCATTTCGGAGTTCGAGGTGAAAAAGCCCAAATTGCTCCCCAAACCAGATAAAACTCCCCTAGAGGGATCTGAGCTCGTATCTTGTACCTTCCCGTCCATCGAGACGATTCTGACTTCAGACAAATTACAGTTGGAACTGCCCATCGACTCTCAAAAAGAATCGATCGTCAGCTCAGAGCCAAAAAAAACAACAGAAACGCTCTCACTGACTGAGCATAGTCAAACTGATTTGACTGATGAAGCGGAATTGTGCATTTTCTGCAACAGTGCCCCTAAAGACAGTATTTTCGTGCATGGTAAGACAGCGCATCACTGCTCCTGCTATCCGTGTGCCAAAAGAACGTTAACCTGCATTGGGAGATGTCCGCTTTGCAACGCAGGACTGGAGACTGTAATGAGAATGTGTTAGGGGCTCGTCGGCGCTTCCCAGTAGGAGCGTCGAAACGGCAGACCATCTCTATAGCCTCTAAACTGATTGTGATACAGCCGAGTATCGATTGGTGCTTGGAAATGTTCAGAAAACCACTTTTTGTTTTTTTGAAGCTCACACGAACGAGCATTTTTATTCGCAATTAACTAGGTGTACAGAATCAATTGTTATTTATTTGAAAGATGATCTATTAGAAATATTAAATTATATCCGAATCCTTCAAAGCATCAAAGGCCTCTGTTGAAAGAAACCAAAGTTTTGAATGTTTGAAGTGCTTCTGTTCTTTTACATTGAACGCGGGCGATTTTTGAGTTGTTCAGAATTGTTTTTTATGGCGATTCATAAAATATCTTATTCTGTTTATGCGCCCGGTTCGCTTGTACATACATCAAATAAAAGTTGTTCCTTATTACAGTAATATGTTGATTTTTAATACGGTCCAATTGCGATTATCTTAGCTTTCAATCCACAGCTTATATCTTTTTCCTATACGGTGTTCATTTCTTTAGCCGTATTCACAAACTTTCAAGCCTTTCTTTCACAAGTGTCTTTTATGTGGTGTGACAGTTTCAAGTCGCTACCTGCTCTGTGTTGAAAGTTACGAATTTTTTTAGGAAGGGCTTTCAGTTGTCCGAAAATGTTCATTTTTGGTCCATCATTCTCCAGATGTACAAATATCTGGATCGTAAGATTTGAGTGAAATTTTGATAGTTTTGAACCTCGAGTGCGCGAATTTCCAGTCACTACCTGCTGTGGGTTGGAAATTTAGATTTTTATCAGAGGGCATACGATTGAAAAAAGTTGTAATTTTGATCCATCATTCCTTTCATTTCAGAGTTTCAAATTTAAACAGAAAATCCGAAAGTTTCAGGTGGCTGGCCAACATTTGCCTTCGTTACACACCACAATTTTGCTGAGAATCGAACTTCAGAAAATCACGTTTTGTTTTCCTTCAAACACAAATGAACATTTCTCAAAAAACTTGGGGTGTTCAGTATCAATTGCTATTCATTCAAATATTATCGATTCGAACGAAAGCTTCAAGAGCGTCTTGTTGAAGAATCAAATGTTTTAAATGTTTGAAGTGCTTCTGTTCTGTTACATTAAATGCGGGGAGATTTTTAGGTGTTCAGAATTTTTTTCTGTCGCTCTCCATAAAATATTTTATTCTGTTTGTGCGCCCGGTCCTCGTACTTTCATAATAAAATATAATTGTATGTACATTTTTCCGTTTACTCTTAATACGGTTCGATTGCGATTACTTGAGCTTTCAGTTCCCCACTTCCATCTATTTTCCCGTTTTTTCCTATGCGGTGTTCATTTCTTTATCCGCATTCACGTACTTTCAAGCTTTTCTTTCACAAGTGTATTCTATAGGGTGTGAGAGTTTCAAGTCGCTACTTGCTCTATGTTGAAACTTACGAATTTTTGAGGGACTGCGTGTAGTTGACCGAAAATGTTCACTTTTGGTCCATCGTTTACAACGTAGCCAACAGTAACTGAATCCAAATCCTTCAAAGCTTCTTGCTCTTTTTGAAGAAAGCTACCGTTTTGAATGTTTGAAGTGCTTCTGTTCTGTTACATTAAATGCGGGGAGATTTTTAGGTGTTCAGAATTTTTTTCTGTCGCTCCATAAAATATTTTATTCTGTTTGTGCACCCGGTCCTCGTACTTACGTAATAAAATATGTTTCTTGTTACATTTTTTCGTTTACTCTTAATACGGTTCGATTGCGATTATCTGAGCTTTCAGTTCCCAACTTCCATCTATTTTCCTATGCGGTGTTTATTTTTTTTATCCGCATTCACATACTTTCAAGCTTTTCTTTTACAATTGTCTTCTATAGGGTGTGAGAGTTTCAAGTCGATCCCTGCTCTGTGTTGAAAGTTAGGAATTTTTAAGGGAGTGCGTGTAGTTGGCCGAAAGTGTTCACTTTATTCCATCATTTACTAGGTAGCCAACAGTAACTGAATTAAAATCCTTCAAGGCTTCTTCCTCTTTTTGAGGAAAGCTACCGTTTTGAATGGTTGAAGTGCTTCCGTTCTGTTTCATTAAGTGCGGGAAGATTCTTAGGTGTTCAGAATTTTTTTCTGTGGCACTCCATAAAATATTGTATTCTGTTTGTGCGCCCGGTCCTCCGTACTTATATAATAACATTTTCCGTTTACTATTAATACGGTCGGATTGGGGTTATCTTAGCTTTCAATTCTCAACTTCCATCTATTTTCCCGCTTTTTTCTATGCGGTGTTCATTTCTTTATCCGCATTCACAAACTTTCAAGCTTTTCTTTCACAAGTGACTTTTATGGAGTGTGAGAGTTCCAAGTCGCTACCTGCTCTATGTTGAAAGTTACGAATTTTTAAGGGGGTGCGTGTAGTTGGCCGAACGGGTTCACTTTTGGGCCAACGTTTACAAGTTAGCCAAAAGTAAGTGAATCCAAATCCTTCAAAGCTTCCTCTTTTTGAAGAAAGCTACCGTTTTGAATATTTGAAGTGCTTCTGTTATGTTACATTAAATGCGGGGAGATTTTTAGGTGTTCAGAATTTTTCCTGTGGCGCTCCATAAAATATTTTATTCTGTTTGTGCGCCCGGACCTTCGTACTTACATAATAAAATATATTTCTTATTACATTTTTTCGTTTAGTCTTAATACAGTCCGATTCCGTTTATCTTAACTTTCAATTTCCAACTTCCATCTATTTTCCCACTTTTCTAGGCGGTGTTCATTTCTTCATCCGCAATCACAAACTTTCAAGCCTTTCTTTCACAAGTGTCTTTTATGGAGTGTGAGAGTTTCAAGTCGCTACCTGCTCTATGTTGAAAGTTACGAATTTTTAAGGGAGTGCGTGTAGTTGGCCGAAAGGGTTCACTTTTGAACCATCGTTTACAAGTTAGCCAAAAGTAAGTGAATCCAAATCCTTCAAAGCTCCTTACCTCTTTTTTGAAGAAAGATATCGTTTTGAATGTTTGGTGTGAATGAAGTGCTTCTGTTCTGTTACATTAAATGCGGGGAGATTTTTAGGTGTTCAGAATGTTTTTCTGTGGCTCCATAAAATATCTTATTCTGTTTGTGCGCCCGGTCCTCCGTACTTACATAATAAAATATGTTTCTTGTTACATTTTTTCGCTTACTTATAATACGTTCCGATTGCGATTATCTTAGCTTTAATTCCCAATTTCCATCTATTTTCCTGCTTTTTCTATGCAGTGTTGATTTCTTTATCCCTATTCACAAACTTTCAAGTGTCTTGCTCTGTGTTAGGAGTTCGGAATTTTGAGGGGAGGGTAAAAATCCTTTTCAAACCATCATCCACAAGCCGGCCAAAGTCAGGTTCTTTTGCTATTTTAGTGAAATTTTTAAAGTTTTGAGCTTCGATAGGGTGTACCAATTTTCAGTTGAAGAAAAGTGCAAATTTTTTGCATCATCCTTCATAAGTTTTCAGGGTTTTCAACTTTCAAGCGTAAAGAGCGAATGTCCCAAGTGACCATTTGTCTGCGTTGCGCATTCACAATTTTGCTCAGAATCCAACTTCGTGGCCACCTCGATGGCGTTCTTGCGCATTCGGGGCGCCCCCCATTCAACTTCGCATCGCTGCCTTGGAAGAGGGAGTCATTCGGGAATCGGGCCTAGTCGTGTTTTGAGTCAGCTGTTAGCCGGACTTCCATTTTAACCGATTTTTCTTATTAGTTTCCTCTTGTTCTTCACATATCAAAGGTAAGAAGTTCTTGAATGTTTTATTTAATCGCCGATTCTCCGCCCATTTACCGAGTCTAAATAGCGAAATCCCACATTGATAAGCGGCCCAAGAACTGTTCGGACGCTATTAAAAAGGGTGCGGTTTGATAAGATCGGATTTGGGAAGTTGAAAAGTTTTTGTCTATTTGTCTGCCCGGTTTATTCAATGATCTTCAATTGAAATTTCGAGTGGTTAGAAAGGGGCTTTCGAGAAAAAAGTAATTTTACGTGTTTTGACTCGGACAGAGGCACACCAGCAATTTCCAATTGAATGCAGTAAAAAATTAAACGCCGGCAATAAATGCGAAATTCCGCACAACCAAAGATGGCTCATAAAATTCGCTTGATTGATCAATACATTTGTCTGGGGGGCTGGGATGAGTCACACGCTACCCATATGACTTGGTGTTTCGGCCCCTTCCACAACATTTTCCTCTTTATTCACTTCGTTTCGAAACATTTCGTTCAACAAAGGCTTTTATTACCACATAAGATTTTTTCCAAATCAGCCAAAAAAAGTTTTCCGCTAAATAAGCAATTTTAATTTAAGGAAAAGAAATGTATTTATTTAAATTGCCACGTTATACTGCCAGCCCCGCCCAAATTTCCCCAATTACCATCACAAAAAGCCGATTTTTTGTACTAAAAATCCGCGACTCACTTGATTTGTCACTGTCAGTGTACTAAATTTTTTCAGACCGAAAACGTCCAAATAACGTCTCAATTTTAAATTCTTTAAAAATTAATGAATATTTATTTTGTCCGGATTAACTCCATGTGAGTTAACTGAGGGACTTCGGAGCTCAATTCGGCATTTTTATGTGTTTATCAGTTTCTGTAAACTATCTAAATGAGTGAAATTTCCTTCCAAGG